GAGGGGCCTCAGCCTGGTGCAATGCCACAGAGTCCACCCTTCCAAGCAGCCATTTTTTCCAGGGGAGCTGATCCCTGTCAGCTGGAGATCAGCTGTAAAAGCGGGGGATCCCCAGGCCCCACCTGGGGGCTGGGAAGCCTATCTCCAGCTGACGGAGATCAGCTCCCCAGGAGGAAATGGCTGCTTTGAAGGGTGGACCATGCTGAGGCCCCTCCCCTCCCTAAGCCCCGCCCTCTCCCGGTGTAAGGAACAGGAGTTTTCAGCACGATGAACGTAAAATATCGGAAGGCAGCAAGACACATGCCAGAATCTCTCCCCCCCCCCTCTTTTTTGGGGGGTGTGTGTGTGTCCAGATCGAGGGCCTACAATAGGCATCTTGCCAAAGAGGGCTCTAACAGGCATCTTGTCAAAGAGGGCTCTAACGTGCGAAAGTTTGTTGGAATAAACTCACTGGTCTTTAAGCGGCCTCTTTGTTTCCACTTCAACAGACTGACCCAGCTGCTCCTCTTCCAGCTTGGGGTAAAGGATTTGGGACTGTAGATTATACCCGCGATGTATAGTTTGTCAGGGCCCTGTAAAACCTATTAACAGTTCCGCAGGGCCTGTAAAACGGAGCTCTTCCACCAGGCTTTTCATTCGGGAGCCGCACCCAACCACCTGTGGCCCAGACCCTAGTAAAGGTAAGGTAAAGGTTTCCCTTGCTCGAAAGCCAGTCGAATCCGACCCTAGGGATGCGGTGCTCATCTCCGTTTCCAAGCCGAAGAGCCAGCGCTGTCCGAAGACGTTTCTGTGGTCACGTGGCCGGCGTGACTAGATGCCGAGGCGCACGGAACGCTGTTACCTTCCCTCCGAAGCGGTACCTATTTATCTACTTGCAATTTCTTGCTTTCAAACTGCTAAATACCACCATCGATAACGTACATGTGCTGATATGACCCAGACTAGTTATCTGCTGACTGTATTTTATGCTACTGATGCCTCGCCATCATTATATCACGTACTAGCACTTTAAGTTGTGTTTTACGTTTATATTCATATTTATTTTATCTAACCTTTGTTTTATCTGTTTAAAAAAATTATGTAAGCCACCCTGAGCCTGCTTCAGTAGGGAGGGTGGAATATAAAACAAATTATTAATAATAATAATACTATCTGTTGCAGTTAAGTAGGTCCCTGCTACGTAATTCTCGCTTTCATATAATGCGTGGTGTTTAATACTTACCTGTACTGAAAGCCACAGCTCAAAACATCAAAGTCATGAAACAACAGAAAGCTGTACACAGAACCTGGCATTATTATTACAGGTCCGACGAAGTTCTCCGGAATATCAGTTGGTTTCGAAAAGACTTCATCCAAACGGGACCGTATGTAACAGTAATGTGTCTTCTGTTCCTTAATTCATCGTTGACTAAATTAGCAACGGCCAAGTGGCTTCATAGGAAACTCTCCTCGCTAATCGTACCGATGCCATAACGGGACTTCACATGGGCGATCTGGATAGAAATGCTCAATACTTAAGCTGTGCTGCAACTCTGGTTGGCCTACAAGTCAAATCCTATTGCGTCGTCCATTGGATGCCCCACTCTCTTGGCTGTACTGACTTACTCTGTGTAATCTGCCTCGAGTGCCAGCCAGAAAGGCACACTCTAGTTAACATAAATTTTATATAAAGTACTTCATGGCCAAGGACCCTCGTATCTGTGAGACCGCCTTCTCCCCCTGAGCTCGGCCACGACGGCTTCTCTCACCGGAGCAGGGCCTTCTGCGGGTGCCAACCTCCAACTGGCAAAACCAACAAGCGCCCACCTGTGCGCCTTCTCTCTCGTGGCCCCGATCTTGTGGAACGGCCTGCCCGAGGAGGTAGGAAATCCCCCCTCTCCTAGCTTCCTGCAAACGATGCAAATCTTAATCATCCAAGAGGGCTTTTTTATGCAGGCAACAGGACAGCGCTGTACAAAATTATTCACAAAGTTCCTTCGACAAATTATTAGGGACGGTGGTCTGTGCGACTGCGTATCGTTCGCTGTCAGTCAGTTCCAGCTATGTAATTTTTCATCCTTTTATGTACCATGTTAACACTTCTTGTTTCAATTCTGTTTTAGACTTCTGGTTGGTCCTACAACTCAAATCCTTTTTCATTGGTTACTGAATGTCCCATCCTGTCGACTGTACTGACTCCTTCTACATAATCCAATTTGAAGAAGAGGAGATTGGATTTATCCCTTCACTACTCAAAGGAGTCCCAGAGCGTCTTACAAACTCCTTTCCCCTCCCCTCCCCACAACAGACACCCTGTGAGGTCGGCGGGGCTGAGAGAGCTCTTTCAAGAACTACTCCTGAGAGAACAGCTCTGAGAGAACTTGGGACTGACCCAAGGTCACACCAGCAGCTGCATGTGGAGGAGTGGGGAATTGAAGAAGAGGAGATTGGATTTATACCCCACCATTCACTACCCAAAGGAGTCTCAGAGCAGCTTACAATCTCCTTTCCCTTCCCCTCCCCACAACAGACACCCTGTGAGGTAAGTGGGGCTGAAAGAGCTCTTTCAAGAACTGCTCCTGAGAGAACAGCTCTGAGAGAACTTGGGACTGACTCAAGGTCACACCAGCAGCTGCGGGGAATTGAAGAAGAAGAGATTGGATTAATACCCCGCCCTTCACTACCCAAAGGAGTCTCAGAGCGGCTCACAAACTCCTTTCCCTTCCCCTCCCCACAACAGACACCCGGTGAGGTAAAAGAAGAAGAGACTGGATTTATACCCCGCCCTTCACAACCCAAAGGTGTCTCAGAGCGGCTTACTAACTCCTTTCCCCTCCCCTCCCCAAAACAGACAACCTGTGAGGTAGGTGGGGCTGAGAGAGCCCTTTTGAGGACTGCTCCTGAGAGAACAGCTCTGAGAGAACTTGTGACTGACCCAAGGTCACACCGGCAGCTGCACGTGGAGGAGTGGGGAATCAAACCCAGTTCTCCCATATTCGCGTCCGCCGCTTTTAACCAGTACAGCAAACTGGCTTGAGTCCAAGCAATAAAGGTGGGTGATAGATAATGTAAATTAAATAAATGAAAAAATAAACTTCTCCTCAAGCATCTGCTTCCCTTGCTCACCGAGAGGTCTGCTCTAGAAGGCCTTTTGCAAAAAAAGGGGGGGAAAAAAGAACGAACGAACGCAGGAGAGAGTTTTGATATAAATATAGCTTTACTTTGGAAAGTTGGGAGTCCAGCTGCCGAGGGGATCTCACACCCTCCGGCAAATACAGCAAACCAGGCAGGTATCTACAATAGAAACAATCGCAGCATGTTTATAAAACAGAATGAACGGTATCCTCTCTGGGCAGAAGTGAATATCCCCCTGGGGAAGAAGGCCACGGGCCTGGTCTTTGTCTCCAAAGAAACCGCCAGGCAGGTTTTTGCTGCTGAGGAATCAGCAAATTGGTATACGTGCCTTTCCTCTCGAACCTCGGCAGGTTGCGGGAACTAGTGGACGGCGAGCGATCCACCTTTCTCCCGGGCCTGGCTTGCACCAGGACGTGCCTGGGAGGGAGGGGTGCTTTGTCCGTCCGTCTGTCCCCCCCCCCTCGGCCTGGCGAGAGGGAAAAGGCACAAACCCATTCAGAAGCGCCAGGAGCCCAAACCGCTCGGTGCGGCGAAACCAGTGTTCGCATTTCAGGTTTTACTAAACCGCCAGCAAAGGGCTCCGGAGTCTGACGCCCTCCGAAAATCCCGGAGGAGGACCTCCGGCTGACGCGGAGATGCCCCTCCCCCCAAAAAAATTGATACACAAAAATCCTGAAGTCACTCTAGAAAAAACAGTGGCGAAAGATTGTCTCAGCCGCGGAGGTTGGGGCCTGACTCAAGACTGCGGACTCTGCGCTTAAAGGCGGTTGTCAAACTAGAAAAGAACACTCGCGCAGGGAGGAAAATATAGATATATATATAGATATATATTATTTGCAGGCAAAGGAGGAATTGGTCTGGAAGAAAAGAGCCGTTTCTAGGAGGGCCGAAACGGTCCTTTTTTAAAAAAAAAAACACCAAGCGCACGCACACACAGATGATCCAACTGAATGTGTACATGGAAACTTACCAAGGTCTTACACTTCTAAACTAATTTTTTTTTAAAAAAACCTACAGGCGTTAAAAATTAAAAAGGGAAGTTTACAAAATTCATGATTACCAAAAAGAAAGGGGTGGGGGGAGAGTGACTTTTAAGAGTTAAAACAAAAGAAAAACTCAGACCGTGGGGAAGAAGC